CGTGGAAACTCGCCATACCAAATCGACATATCCGCTCACTGACTTAATAAATAAATTCCGTAGCAGGATGTGAAAATCAATATACCTCAGTTATTTTGGGTGCATTTATTTAATCGTGAAACAATAATAACTAATTTCAAATCCAAAAAATCATCAATTTTCCGCCGTATCGGATTTTTAAATTTTAACAATGAGATTGTTCAGTAAATTTTAATTTTTGCATTTTTTGAAGTATCGAGTACGCATAGTTCACTGGAATTTTCTCCAATTTTTTTAAACAATATTAAACCACGAAAAACAAGTTAAAGTGCTCCTATTTAAACTCGCTTCTCCGAGGAAGTCATAAAAAGGGGCCTGAGAGATCCCCTAAGTGACGGTCACACTTTCGAGCACGTGTTCCCCTAGCGCGCTCTAAATACTCATGAATCTCTGGATACTGGTCCGACTCCAATGAGGTACCTGACAGTGATTTCAATGAAAATGGAATGAATCCGATGGGTTTGTTCGTTCGTCTGTTTACCCACCCTTAACCATGCGCAGACATCGATCGCGACAGAGGAAACGCGCGGTTGATAGGTATGTGTCTGTCATTCAGGGGATCTCCCAGACGACATCTTGGATGTTTCGGCGATGCGCATTAAAATGAAGGAACTTAACACTTAGAATGGCTGACTAATGCAAACACTGCTTAACACTTTGAAATTGATTTAGGTTAGATTTACTTGGGCGCACACACTGCAAACTGCCACCTTAACTAATGTTAAACACTGCCCACATTTTACCGAATATTGTTGATTGAAGCGGTAGCCATGAAAAGATGACATCAAAATCGCATCTCACACGGTTTTCTTTACTCGAAAAATATGAACATTGGAGGTAAACCTCAAAATAATTAAAGTTTACGAAGGCGGAAATTTTCACATGTAATTCTTATAGGCAAGATGCAGCGGGAATGGAAATTGAGGTTAGGTATACTTGGGCTCTCTCTCTCCCCCCCCCCCCCAAAAGTCGGCCCATTCCTCCGGCTTATAAAACCTGGCCCATGGCCCAAAATTTCGAGTTTCCCGTCTAAAAATACCTCCCGTTACTAAGTTTCCCAAATCTGCGCCGCGCGCGCGTCGATCAAGTGGATATAGTTCCTTTTGATCTATTCAGTATCCCGGATAGCGCATTAAATCAAAAGGACCTAGGTGAAAAATCCCTTATATGTCGCTTAACAGTCATTTTTCGGAACTTTGGTGACGCGTGTAATGAGAAACTCTTTTGCTTATAAACAAGGCACAGCAAACCAAAATCGGTCCATTAGAAAGGAAATAACGCCAATGGTTTATTCGAACTTGCTCCACTGAAAATTTTGAAAATGGCGTATAGCTCCGTTTAGCATAAATACGTCCAAATAAAATCAATAAATGGACCAAAAGAGATAAAACCAAACTGAACGCGACGAAACCAACAGAAATAATTTTCACTAATCGTCCGTGCGTCCACATTCCACTCTCACTAGGAGATGATCAAATTCCACACGACACATCCGCTTGATATTTCGGACCTCACCTGGATTCCAGACTCAGGTGGGGCACCCATATTAAGAAAAAAGTTGCTCAATTGCGACTGAAATTGTCCAATATGCAGTGGCTCGTCGGACGAAAGTCACGATTGCCTCTAAACATAAAGTTACTCCTCTACAAGTCAATGGTGAGGCCTGTTTGGAGTTATGGCTGCCAATCGTGGGGTTGTGCAGCCAAGTCAAATCTTGATAAAATATAAGTGATTCAGATGAAGATCTTCAGAAGCATTGCTAATGCTAGATGGTACGAGAGGAATGCAGGTATTCGCGTTAACCTCAACATAGACTCTGCGGAGGACTACATCACGAAGATACACACTGCATACATATAAAGATCGTTTGCACCGGCATCCCAACCCTAAAGCACTTGCGCTCCTAGAATGGGACCGGTGCATTCGAAGGTTAAAATGTCGCAAGCCCCATGAGCTTTGAGTCAGGGGCTTTTCAAAATTTCCGTAAGAAGCTACACCCGACGTGCCTTCCCACGCTCCTGAGACGTGATCAGCGGTTTCTTGGGCTTCGGCCGTTCCCGGTCGCCCGATAACAACAGATTAAAAAAAGAGGCTTTTTTATTTTGTAATAATTTTGTTTTATTCTTCTCCTTGTTTTTGAAAAGGTAGTACATTTTCAAAGTTTAAATTTATTAATAATGTTAAGTTGTATTTTTAATAGTTAAGTTAAGCTTTTTAGAGACATTTAATATGTCCAAACGTGTATTTTGTACAGTTTATTATGTGCGAAATAAAATAAAATAAAAAAAAAAATCAATGAAAAAATCCATTTTGTACGAAAACATTTTTTGGAAAAATCTATTTTTTACTCCAATTAATCTTCTATTTCAAGGTTGTGGTCATTCATAAAACATGACCTAACAGCCAGGTGTGTTCATTAATTGTTTCAATTCCAAGACATACTTGTTGTCTTGCTGCAATATTGGTGCATCAGTAGGTATTTGTTAATATTATTCGAATACAGGGTATGACCCAGGAGTCCCTTCCACTCTTTCCAAAACTTTACTTAATTAATATTTTGAAACGAAACTTTGGGAATGTTTTTAGATCAATGTTGGTACTTAAGGGGGCCCCCAAAATTTTCGAATCCCATATTCCCCATTTTTTTCCAAATAGCACTCCCCC